AAAAAAAAAAAAAAAAAGAGCAGGTTTAGAGACTCCGTCAAAGGCTATGATAAATCATGAAGTAGGAACTGGAAAACGCAAGATGAGTAATTCATCAAGGTGATCTAAACTTCTAAGCAATTTCAACAGCATGCTCAATGTGTCCCGTTGACTTACAGCAGGGGAGTCATTAGGAAATGCGGGGTCTATCGGTTCTTCATCTCTGCCTGTTTAAAAAAAAAAGTCCCATTTACCGGAACTGGATTGTACATTCCACATAAAGTTACTGCCAAAACTTACTAAGTGCCATAAGCAAGTATATATTTTTTGGTTAGATGTCAGAAGAAAGACGTCAGGGTGGATTAAATGACACGCCTGAAACAAAGCGAACTGAACAGAGTTCAGAATCTGGGGAGGGTCAGTTAACACTGTGGATGAGCTGCACGCAGCTCCTGAGTGTGACTCCCAAGGCTCTAAGAGCAGTGCTCAGGGATCTGGACTTCAAGGCAGCACTGTCCACCATGACCTTGAAAGAGCAGATGTTGCTAACGCTTGGCAGATGCCAGCACCGCTTTAGACAACAAAGCTGTCTAAGGCACAGCACGTGCTGAACGCTTATTCTTCACAATGTGCCTACTGATCTTATTTCATCTGCATCGCAAAAGAAAGTGATTTCACTCCCTGTAAGAGAGGAATCAAAATGGTCTACATGTTTGCTAGAACAAAAAAAAATAATAATAATTAAAAAAAAATTAAATGGTCATCTGGGTATAAATTAATTAATTTAAACTTAAGCTTTGAGTAAAACCCATATATACATTGATATATATAAACACTCACATGTATATATACACACACACACACACACACACACATCTGTAGGTAAAACAAGCTTTGAACACAACCCACACGTCCACTGCTATATCAGCTCCTGCACGCTCACATGCAGGTAAAGGAGTATCTGGAAAGCTCATCTAGATAACAGATGCAACACTGAACAATGCCTGACCCTACAGGACACCACTTCCTGTACTTATAATTCACCCTATCCACGTGAAATAAAATTATTCTGCAATACTAACACATTTATCAAAGGCCGTATTATCTAAGATTTTATTTTCCCACTTCCCTGTTAAAAATATCTCTAGAAGTATTGGTGAGGACAGAGTCTCAACATCCCCTATCTTTTCTCCACAACACACCCATTTGCTAGCATTACCTATCAGCACAGTAGAACTCAGGGTTGGTGGGGTGGCCAAAGAACTTGACCAAGACATCTCTGGGTCCACCTCAGCTCCCAGACTCTCAGAAATACGTTTTGGTGTCTGAGCCTGGAAATAAAAGAGTTTATTAAATATATA